AGAGTTAATACAGAACTCTCTCAACACTCTGTCCTCAGGTGCTCAACGTTAGCGGTAATGACATCAAATCACTGCCCGGTGATTTCGACAAGATGAAGTCGGCCGAGGTTTTGGATTTCTCCGATAACATTATCGATTCCTTACCAGAGAGTATCTGCAAGTTGCCTGCCGTCAGAGAACTCAATGTTTCAAACAACAGGTCGGCTGTTTTGATATGTTCAACTTAAGAGATAAACAAAACACACAAAAAAACAACTTTCCCCAAGAGTGATGAAAGTGATATGAACAACACAACAGCCGGCGGTCACAACACAACAGCCGGCGGTCACAACACAACAGCCGGCGGTCACAACACAACAGCCGGCGGTCACAACACTAAGCATGCGCAGATCGTTACATCCAATTAATTACTTTTTATTAGTAAATACAAGTAGAACATCTGGGGGGTTCCTGGTATAAATGGGTAAGGTCCAGGGCCATCGCGTGGAACCTTCAACCCCCCCCCCCCCTGCGCTTGAAGGCTGACTCGGATATTTAGGGGCCCCAAATTATGATGAGGGGGGAAAAAGTGTAACATTCAACTTTGAAAGCGGGTGCACCAAACCAAAAAGGTTGCAGAGGGTCCCCAAAACTCACGCGACTGCTCCCATGGGCCCCAAGCAATGTTCCCTCTAAGGTTTGTTGGTTCGTGTGCAAAATCATAAAGTTGTGTGCGAATTTTCACTGCATCAATTTTTTTTTTGTGCGCAAATTTTACAGTTACAGCCTACAGACACAAGCACACAATTAAGTGGAAATTAGCTGCGCGGTACTCAAGACTGCTGCGTGGCTTCTGTGAGGCTACTGCGCGGCCGCGCAGCTTAAAGGGAACATGGGCCCCAAGTATGACAAAATACCCATATTTATGACAGGATGTCCTTAATTATAGAGTTACCAAGCTAATGCATTATCATAGATAACGGCATCAGGCACACTGAAAAGGGTTACAAAATGGGGATACAGTATGGGGACACAAAGGGCTTGACAAAATGGGGATACAGTATGGGGACACAAAGGGCTTGACAAAATGGGGATACAGTATGAGGACACAAAGGGCTTGACCAAAAAAAAACAAAACAACAAGACTTCTATAGTATGTTATAATAATATTGATAAAATATGTATTAATTACATTAAAAAAAACGACATCGTGGTACGGACCAGCGCACCCTTAACTACGATGTGCGTAGTGAATTTTTATAAGAAGAAAAATACCACGTTGATAAGCTTCACAACTCTCATAGATAGGGCTTTTTTCTTCCACAGAATCACCCTCGGCTTTCCGAAGGCTTGGGAAAACTTGCGATCTCGCTGTGACGTAAAGATGACGGATCAGTCGTCCAGCAAGAAGAGGGAGCCCCAAGACAGGCCCGTGAAGGAGGAGCCGCCGGCGTCACCGAAAAGTTCCAAAAAGAAAGCCGGCACAAAGGCGGGGAGGAAGTCTGGCCCGATGAAGTCTGCTCCTCCTGGGAAATAGTTCCAATATTTCCAAATTTGTTAAGCATGCCTCAATGTAATAGAATAACAATTTTATATCATTATAATTTGTTGAATTGTCCAAGGCGTGAGAAAGCCATTTTATGGGGAAAGCCATTTTATGGGGAAAGCCATTTTATGAGCAAGCAATAAAGCTGAAGTTCTATTTATTTCTACAACTGTTACCACGGAGAGAACATTTTTTTATTTATTATAATTTATTTTATTTATTTTTTTTTTTTGGGGGGG